GATTGTGTGTGCTGTTGTTTGGAAAATGTGTCAATCTACTCAGAAAAGGACTACGCGTAATGGTGGACGGATAACTAGCACTGTGCGGAATAATTCAACGGATAGAGCACCAGATCAGGAAGCCGGAAGTTACAATGAGGAAGTTGGATTGCCAGGACGGGGATTAAACATTCAGGTCAAACGCACATTCAAAGGAGAAGGAACAGAGGTGTGGAGTGAATTTGTGAGATATTTTGAGAATATTGCTGCGTTAAATAATTGGTCCATTGACATGAGACGAAGAGTTCTTATTACTACATTCCGTGGACAAGCGGAAGCAATCGCATATGGACTACCAGATAATATTATAGGGAACTATAACCAACTTAAACTACAAATGGACAACAGATTCGGACATACTGCGATGAAGGAGAGCTATATCGTGGAGGCAAAAATGCGGAAAAAGCTCCAGACAGAATCGTTCCGAGATTTTGGCCAAGCGATAGCTGATTTGTATAGAAGAGCTCACCCTGGAAATCGAGACTATGTGGAAGAAGCTAGTCTTAAAACTTTTATGGACAACTGTAATCATGATGACGATTTCCGCTTAGCTGTGAAGCGCACTAGACCAAAAAGCCTACAGGAAGCAGTGACTGCTGCGATGCAGGAGGAATGCATTCGTATGACAGAGAATCGGAATTTAAGAAACAGGGAAAACAACCCTGTAAGACCCATTTATAGAGTTAGCGAGTTCTCCCCTCAGGGAAAAGTCCCAGTGACCAGGAAAACGTACCGCGCTTATCCAGATATTGAGGACAAAAGAAAAACTTTGAAGAAATGTTACGGCTGTAATTCTTCTATGCATTTGTATAAAGACTGTCCAAAGCGAAAAAATGCTGTTAGCCAACCCCCCCCCCAGAAATCTTTAAATTTAAGAGTGTCGAGGCAGTAGGCCATGTGTCGGCACAGCAGTTAGTTAAGCGGCCTAGTACAGGAGAGGAACAACGTCAGGATGATAGCAGTGTAGAAATGCCTGCAGTATCAACTCAAACAGATGTTGGAAATTTGCACTTGAATTACGAGTCTAACGAGAAAAATCAAGGAGTTATAGAAATTAGAGGAAAACCAGGAATGAGATTAGATGGCTTAGTGGAAGGCACATCGTTAGAATGGAAATTTGACACTGGTGCAATGAACACGTTCATAACAGAAGAGGTTTATTGGAACATTCTTCCAGAACACAGACCTGTGCTGGAGCGCGCTAAAAAGCAATTTAATACAGCCGACGGAAGAAAATTGAAAGTTACGGGAACTGCAAAAATGATACTTTCTTTTCAAGGACTTCAAGTGATATTTTGAGTGTTTGTGGCAGACGTAAAATGTAATTTACTGGGCCAAGATTTTATCACTAAATTCCAGTGTCAATGGAACTATGTATCTAATGTGTGCAACCTTAATTCAGATGCTGAAGTCTTGCGGGGATATTATATTATTAGCATGGAGGACAGTGTTGTTCCAGCTCATCACGAGAGTATTATAAAGGCTACATTCGATAGTAGTGTAGATGCTTGTGATGGGGTGCTGTTACCTCTAAAATCATTTGTACATAATCATGGGTTAGCTGTGGCAAGAGAGTTAGTGAAATCTACACGTGGTGAAAATAATATTTTTGTGCGCGTGTTTAATCCGAATGACCATGACGTTTATGTGCAGAAGTGTACCGACATAGCTGTGTTTGATCCTGTAGAAACTGTGTCAACATTGAAAACCCCGGAAGTGTGTGGTGTAATGTCAGGAGGCGACAAATTGCCAGAGCATCTAGAACAAGTTTTTAAAGAAGCGAGTGAAAATCTAACTGAAGAGCAAGCGGCAAAGTTTAAGAACTTTCTCTTAGCTCGTGTGGACGCGTTTGCAGACCCAAACAAACCAGTGGAGCGTGCAACGATTGGGGAACATCGCATTAAGTTAAAGGAGGAAATTCCCCTTAAGGAACCAGTGCGCAGGGTACCTATTTTCAAGAGGGAAATAATGGATGAGGAAATCAAGAAATTAGAAGAACAGGGATTAATAGAGAAGTCCAACAGTCCCTGGTCCGCTCCTATTGTATTAGTCCAGAAGAAGGACAAAAGCTGGAGGCTTTGTGTCGATTATCGGAAATTAAATGCGAATACCATCAAAGACGCTTATCCGATACCTCGTGTGGCAGATGATCTCGATTCCCTCGATGGATCTACATGGTTTTCTTCATTAGATCTCAATATGGCTTACCATCAAATTCCTATGAGTGAGGAGGATAAGGAGAAAACAGCGTTTGCTACACCTCGTGGTGGCCTTTACCATTATACGGTTATGCCTTTTGGATTATGCAACGCCCCGGCAACGTTTCAAAGAGTTATAGAACAGGCGTTAAATGGACTACAGTGGCATATAACAGTCTTATATTTGGATGACATTATTGTGTACAGTCGTACTTTTGACGAACATTTAGATAATCTTAGTTTAGTATTAGATAGATTGCGGAGTGTAAACCTAAAACTAAAAGCGAAGAAGTGCAATTTCTTTAGGCGGGAAGTGAGCTTTCTTGGACATATCGTTTCAAAGGAGGGTATTAAAACAGATCCTTCAAAAATAGAAGCTGTGAAAAACTGGAAAACACCGAGCAATGTAACGGAACTTAGAAGTTTCTTAGGACTAGCAGCGTATTACAGGAGATTCATTCAAGACTTTGCTAAAACCGCAAAATGTCTGCATATTCTTACTGGGAAAAATCAAGAATGGAATTGGACGCAAGAATGTGATACAGCGTTCGAATTTTTGAAACAGAAATTAATATCTGCACCTATTTTTGGATATCCCGATGTGAATGCTGGTGACTTTATACTAGACACTGATGCTAGCAACGAGGCTATAGGCGCTGTGTTATCGCAGATTCAGAATGGAAGAGAAATTGTGATTTCCTATGGAAGCCGTGTGTTGAATAATTCTGAAAGAAATTATTGTGTTACACGCAAGGAAATGCTAGCTGTTGTGTACTTTGTTCAAGACTTTAAGCACTATTTACTTGGTCGAGAGTTTTTGCTTAGAACAGACCATGGATCCTTGGTGTGGCTTCGTAGATTCCGAGAACCGGATGGACAAATTGCGCGGTGGCTACAGCGACTTGGACCGTACATATTTAAAATTGAACATAGGGCTGGGAAACGACATGGAAATGCAGATGCATTATCTCGTGTTTCTTGTGAATCGAAATGTAAACAGTGTAAACGTGAGAAAAGTGAAGGAAGTGAAATTCAGAAATATTCACATGTTTCCGAACTAAGGAATAATTCAAAAGGAAGTGTCAATCACGTGTTTGATTTAAGTGTATTGTTTAAGGATAACACAAACTCTGAAAAATCAAGTGATTGTGCCGTTATTTCCCCTGTGAAGAAGAAGCGAACAAATAGACCAATGCGAGCAAAGATTCGGAAACAACCGGAGGAGTCATTAAACCGAAAAAATATTCGAGAGAAACAACAGAATGACCCTGGAATGCGCGTTATTCTCCATTGGATGGAAAAGAATGAAAAACCGCCATTATCAGCTGTGTCATGTGAAAACTTCGAGTGCAAATATTGGTATTCAAGATGGGATTTATTGTGCATTGATCAAGGTGTTCTGTGTATTCGCTGGATTTCAAATAATAGTGAGGAACTAAAGATATGTCTACCACGGAAACTGCGTCAAGTTGTGTTATGGCACTTCCATGACTCTAATGTTGGAGGTCATATGGGTGTCAAAAAGACTTTAGAAAAAGTCAGGAATTCCGATTATTATTGGCCTAGGATGCGACAATTCGTTCATGACTACGTATTATCGTTTGATGTGTGTGAAGAGAGGAAAAATCCGCCTCGGAAAAAGAGATCGCGTATGAAAACTTTCCTGAGTGGTGAAACCTTTCAAAGAATAGTACTGGACTTAGCCGGACCATTCCCAAAGTCAGATAATGGATATTCTTACATTCTGGTAGTGATGGATTATTTTACAAAATTTGCTGAGATATTTCCACTCATGAACATGGAAGCTGAAACGGTAGCCGAGGTCCTGTTTAAAGGATGGATTAAGAGATACGGATGTCCTGGAGCTATTCACTCAGACCAAGGAAAACAATTCGAAAGTAAACTTTTCCAGGAAATGTGCCGATTATTTCAAATTGACAAAACGCGTACTTCATATCATCCCCAGTCAGACGGAATGGTAGAGAGGATGAACAGAACGATAAAAGACATGCTGTCTAAGTACATTAATGCAAATCAAACTGATTGGGACCGTTTTGTGGATGGCATCGTTCTCGCGTACAGCACTACTCCGCATGAAACTACACGGATTTCGCCATATAGACTAGTTTTTGGTAAAGAAGCCAAATTACCGATAAATGTTCTGACTGAAAATGAAGCGATGAAAACGCCCGAAAAAGATGCGAACAGAGCAGTTTATGTGCGCGACTTAGAGGAAAAACTTTCCACAATTCATGATTACGCAAGGGAAGTTACGAAAGAAGCATCTCAGAGACAGAAAAATTATTTTGATCGTAACGTGCGTGAAGCTAATTATGAAGTTGGAGATTTAGTACGGAGAAGTCAACCAAAAGTTGATAAGGGACAAAAGTTAAAACTGTCGAGAAAATGGACTGGGCCATGGATAATAATGAGAAGATTAAGTGATGTGCTTTATGAAATTAAGCATTCAAAACAGTCGAAACCCGTCACAGTGCACGCCGACAACATCAAACCCTACCGCGGAGAGCGACAGCAGTCCCGCTATACAACCAGCGAGACAGCGGAATACAAGGGTGGCGAGACACCAGACGGTCAACATTGGCACGCGTCTGGACCAGGCCGGTGGCGTTTGAAGTTACCGCTAGCTCCGCCCCCGAGAACAGACAATTCGGAAGCTGACCAATCAGAACCAAGAACGAAGATGACCCGAGGAGGACGGACTATAAGAACCCCCATCCGTTTCAGAAAATAAACATTCGACAAATGTTGTGCGAAACTTGTGGACAGACATTCAGCACCAGCAGTAATCTTCACCAGCATACCAAAGAGAAACATAGTGATCATGTAAATAGTTTACAGTGTAGTTATTGCCAGAGACCCTTTTTGCGAAGATTTAATTTGAAAAGACACTTGACTTCAGTTCACAAACTGAATTGTGAACAATTAGAAGCAGCCATGCCCTCAAAGCGGAGACGAGTCGAGCGTGATGAGAATCCAGGAAAGGTGGCAGAGGATAGTTTCGAATAAAGTACCGGTCAAAAAATAGAAAAAAGAGAGAAACCTGAGGTTTGAATGCATATTATAGGTAATTTTATAGGTAGAATATTTTATGGGTGCATTTGGAGGGAATTGGTGACCTTGTATATTTTATTGAAATATGACACTTTAATGTCACTACTACTGTATAGGGGATATGGACTAGAAATACGAAACTAAGCTCAAAACTCGCTCTACCGGTTTTTCACCAGAAAAGCGGGGTGGGTTCACAGGATGAATTGTAGCTTGAAAACGAGGTGGTTGAGCCCATATCTCTTGCTGTTCATTGGTATGTACAAATGTTATTCTGCAATTTGTGTGGTAGCTTAGGTCATCAGCACGGGCCTGGAAGCAGATGCGACTGCGGCGAAATAGTGAAAATAGGCTTGATTCACATGAAATTTTGAGATTATCCCTGCGCAATCTTTAGGGCTCATTATGTAAGTTGTACATGTTTTATTCCTAAAAGCTTCAAATTTCTCAAGGGACTACATCATACTATTATTACATGTAGAGGGAATTTAAAATTTTTCAATGCACATTTTAAAAGCAGCTCAATATTAAGTAAACCGTCAGTCAAACGTTTTGATTGCAAAAAAAACTATCCTCTGCCACCTTCAAGAATGCATCAATTTTTAGAAATGTGAATTTTCGTCTGATTTTTATACAAAAGGGTTTATTTATGTATGCCAAATTAAAAGAATACTTTATTTCTGTTATTTAAAATCTGTACAATTGGGTATATTTACTAAAAAGCTAGGGGGGTTACTCTTTTCCAGCATACATTTTTAAAGACTTTGAACCATCAGCATAATAAATCATATAAGATTTAGGCATTTTTTGCCAGAGAATAAATTAATTGTTTGAATTTGATACTTTGGGTATTGTCGCATAATTAAAATCTTGTCTTGCTTTAATTAATTTAATCTAATTAAAATTTAAGTGTATTAATTAGTGCGATATCACTGAAATTACATAAATTTGCCATTTTTTTAACCTAATTTACTAAATATAATTATTTTGAAAATAAAAATCTGTCAGCATACCTAAATGTCACTAACCCTAACCATATATAGTACAAAAAAAACTTTTTTAGCTTTATTTTTCCAAATTTAACCTATTCTGTTATTGATATTTTCATGAAATATGCCCCCCCCCCTTTCAATTTTTAAATTTATCTATATTTAAATGTGACAGAATCTAATTTTTTCAAATGTTTGCTATAAAATGACTATTTTTCTTTGAATAATAACAAAACAAAGAGTTTGTATTGCATATTTATTGAAGTAATAGCAAGAAAATGTGCATTTTCATGTAATTATTGAATTCTGCTAGGCCCATATAATCTGCCCACAATTGCCCAGGATGGACAGAATAATCACTTTTAATTTTCAGGAGAATGAAATGTTTGTATTTGATTACTCATAACTGTTAAAAGGAAATATCAGACACTTAGAAAGAATTCATTTAGGACAAACAGATTTTTACAGTGCATTTTCATTACACTGAAGAAATGGCTGCAGGGGTAGGTGTTGAACTGCCATTTCCTGGACACTTTTTCTTTAGAATGTGGTGCAAGGGTTTTTTTTGCATATCATGATAAATATCTTGAAAGTTGAAAGGGGTTTTAACTTTGCAAAGAAGTTATAGGTATATAAAACCAAGTGAAAAAGGGATAATATGGAATTTCATAGAACATGAAAAATAGGGGAGTATGTGATACATGTGAGTACATTTCACCAAGATGTGCTCTTTGTATTTGACTTTTTACATATAAATGTATTTGAAATTGATTAAAATTACTATTTAACACTTTTTTGATGGTATATTGATCATCTGGAGTTGTAAGAATTGCATTTGTTTTATGTGTAAGAAACAATATGGGGTTAAGGTGGTTGACCGAGAATTGGTGAGGTCTCTTATTTGGCCATAACTTTTTTATTTTTCAATGAATCAAGACATAGTATATTTTTACTCAGAATTGCATGTTCTTTTTGAATTGAGCAAGGTTTATTACTTGCAAGACAAACTTTGAAAGTTAAAGGTGGCAGAGGATAGTTTCGAATAAAGTACTGGTCAAAAAATAGAAAAAATAGAGAAACCTGAGGTTTGAATGCATATTATAGGTAATTTTATAGGTAGAATATTTTATGGGTGCATTTGGAGGGAATTGGTGACCTTGTATATTTTATTGAAATATGACACTTTAGTGTCACTACTACTGTATAGGGGATATGGACTAGAAATACGAAACTAAGCTCAAAACTCGCTCTACCGGTATTTCACCAGAAAAGCGGGGTGGGTTATCACAGGATGAATTGTAGCTTGAAAACGAGGTGGTTGAGCCCATATCTCTTGCTGTTCATTGGTATGTACAAATGTTATTCTGCAATTTGTGTGGTAGCTTAGGTCATCAGCACGGGCCTGGAAGCAGATGCGACTGCGGCGAAATAGTGAAAATAGGCTTGATTCACATGAAATTTTGAGATTATCCCTGCGCCATCTTTAGGGCTCATTATGTAAGTTGTACATGTTTTATTCCTAAAAGCTTCAAATTTCTCAAGGGACTACATCATACTATTATTACATGTAGAGGGAATTTAAAATTTTTCAATGCACATTTTAAAAGCAGGCTGCTCAATATTATAGTAAACCGTCAGTCAAACGTTTTGATTGCAAAAAAAACTATCCTCTGCCACCAAACCTGTCTACGTTCATAGCGACTTGTACGAAGACATTTCGTCCGATGAGAACGATGAGACTTACTGTGACGTGCAAGAGACTGATGTGACCAATGTGAATTATCTGGATGATATTTCTTTTGCATCAGAATTGCCGGAGATCGACGAATCTCTGGTAGAAGACATTCTCCATAATTGTGCAGACTTTACTAGTGACCGAATAGTCGAGATGTTGGAAGACGAGTCAACGGACACCCGGGAAGTTATCTTTATAGACGAGGACAGCCAACCAGAAACGAGTGCTTGTGACAGTGATCGTGACAGTGAACATCGGGACACTGATCTCACGCAGAGATCAACAATTTGTCTGGTGTTACATAAGACAGTGAAACGTAACCTAGATGGTACGGAAGAAATAAGCAGAGACTCTCATATCGTTTATTCAGAAGACCTTAACCCCGATGATATTGACTTTCCAAATGTGGCTAATGAAATCCTGAAGGAGGTACCGAAACATTTCGAAGACGGCCATGTTCGGATTGTGAAAGGCGACATTTCCGTATGAGCAGAACTTTAATATTTTGATGAACAGACTTGTAAATATTTAAAATTGTCATGATTTATTTGTATATATTGACTGCTTATTATGCGTAAAGTTTTATTGATTTGTTTGTGTTTATAATTGTGCGTAATTGCATATAATTAACTGGCTGCACTTTGAATTATATTATTAAGTCGTATGTTTGATATTTGAATTTAAATTATGTCTTAATTGTCTGTTTTACATGTATTATAATAGGGGTAATCATTTCGTATTTTATATTGTACATAAATTTTGATCGGAGTCAAAAGCTTAAGTAGGGGGGAGTTGTAACGGTATCTTGTAGTATTATTCTGTTTTATTGTTACGCAATGTTTGTTTACATGTCATTGCTCCGCGCGAGCAATGTCGTTACATAACTGACCCCGTTAAAAAAGATTGCTCCTCATGAGCAATGCATATTATGTATATATATAGGTCGAGTAAATGCTTAGGGGCAGTCAGTCTTATTAATTCTATTACGGGATATACATGTAGGAAAAAGTGCAGTCCGGCCAGTGATTTATTATGTGTGAAACTTGGATATATTTGTGATGTAAATAAACTGTAAATAATTTATTTTGCGTTTCATTTAACCTAAAGCGTATGCTTTAGAGGTTGGAGAATTAAGGTCACATGGATTATTAATAAAACTGGAGTTATCTCGCACTTGGATTATTTAAATAGAGCCGTTTACCGCTCGACGGCGTTACATTGAATATGATTTTTATCCAACGCCAAGGCTCGGGGATAAAAAAAAAAACAAACCACGCAACTCGTTGGATAAAAATCATATCCAACTACAAATCATGGGAGATCCTTTTTATCCCATGTATAATACTTCACAATCAGATAGGATTTTTATCCAACGAATTGCGTGTTTTTTTTCATCCCCAAGCCTTGACGAGGGTATAAAAACACACAACGAGTTGGATAAAAATCATATCCAACTACAAATCATGGGAGATTCTTTTTATCCATGTTTATTACTTCACACTCAATGTTTTACACATTTTCTGCATATTTTACTTCATTACGCTAACGCAAAACCCATTGTGATGTCACAACTGTGGGATACGAAAACGATATATATCACATGAGCTATACCCACGGGATAAAGAGATAAACATGGGATAAAACATATTCGATTGTTATACCTGAAAAAATTTGTTCGTATACAAATCTTTACGAGAAAAAGACCGCAATTTCTAATGATTTGCTGAGAGGTCATAAAAAAAAATCGATGTTGGACCGCTGAGTGAGATCTTGGACCGGTCGATGAGATGTTGGACCCCCTTCGTCACAGATTGGACTTACTATCATTTTCATTCGTTTGTGTTCTTGAAAAAGTGACGGACCTGAGGTGAAATCATGGAAGACAGTACAAAGTACATGTATGTCAAAAAAATTAAAATGAAAGGTATAACAAAACATTTATTGACTATGTTCTCAAGAAAAATGCTAGTGAAATTTATATAATTATATATCAATAAAATATGGTATGAAGAATTCTCGGGAAATGACAGTCCGAAGTAGGAAAAATGGAAATCTCGGTAGTTTTACATTATTCGGAAGGCTTTTTCTATGGTTTTTCTTTTTGTGTACATACAAATGTACAAAAATTGCCTAGCTCCTACCGTCTTTGTGATAAAGATTGATCTTAAAGTAAAACAATAGGTTTTTAAATCAATAAGTTTCCAAATAGCCGGGGTATTTATATATATGCATTTGTATAAAAAAATGCAAATAGGTGATGTCACTGATTCAAAACGAACAAGTTAGAATCTCAGAAAAATTGCACAAAATCTGTAAAATGTTCGCAATGTAACGGCGTCCCTAAGGCGACCGACGCGTTTCTACGGCGTTCTCGTGGCAAATTGCGATTCAACAAAATCTCGCGTTCACGACGTTCTCTTTGCGATGGATGCGTACAATTTTTGTCTTTATTATGAATGTAAAAAATGAACACACTGAAAAATTGTAATCAATTTGAAGTAATAACACATTTACTCCACTGAAATAATAGAATAAGTTCTGGTGTAAGAAAAAGATATTTGCCCTAAAATTCAATGTTATTGAAAATTTATGAAAAGGGTTTTAACAAAAGTTTAGTTGATAGATATGATAAATCTTAAAGAATATTAAGGAAGACCATTATGGAAATTATGGACATTTTTAAGTTTTATGCAGAAAAGCTTCAAAATGACTCATTTCTGATTTTTCCTTAAGATACTAATGTCTCTGTGGGCGATGCATGTACTACATATGTTTTCTGAAAGAAAATTCCACCGAAAATTGATGTCTTCTGCAACTTTAAAAGAAAAAAGGAGAAAATGAACAAGTTTATGGTGTAACAATTAGCATTAAGGATGTCATATTGGAAGAATAGATCTGTATGTTTTTACTGTATGGAATTTTAATAATTCAGAAAAGATAAATTTTAATTTCTTACGTTACTTCTAAAAAAAAAATAAAGGACCGTTTTGTATCGAATCCGTACCTTGTTCTTTCCATTTAACAATTCTACTTAAAGACTCCCATGCTCTTGACCATTGCTGATCAAATAAGAGGTCATTGCTCTTGCTTCGTGAGCTGGCTGACAACGCTTCAACAACGCCTTGTGATCGCCAATGGAAGAGATAGAAACGCAAAGAGAGTGCAATGATTTTAGTGACAACTCCATGTTGTCGTTGTCTTATCGCAGTCTAAAAAATAAGAACATTAATCTCATTAGAAGCGCCGCAAAACGCGATAGAAACCTCCAAGGTTCTGCAAGGTTTCCTTGGAAGCGCATTCCACTATCACTGCGTTCTTGCTGTGATTATGTGCGTCTTCAAGGCGTGCATACGAAGCTCCCATTGCGTTGTTGGATATCTCACCGCGCTTCAACGGCGATCATACTACGTTTCCTCTTCGTTTTTATCAGACTGTCTTCACACGGCGCATACCTTGTGCATGCTCGAAGTGCGCGCCTCCTTCTGGCGTTAAGGAGATCACGTGCGAATCTATTTCGTTTAGTGGAGATCTTGCAGCGTTGTCAAGGTGCTGTAGGAGACTCTACTGCGACCACCTTTGCATTTTTATGTGACAGGGATGTAAATGGTCTTTAATACCAAAACTCATTGTAAACGACAATGTCTTTCTGTTTTAGCAACAGATAGGGAAACTGGTTATTCTATTTATATATATGACGACATATTGTTTGTTCTCCTCCGGGAACACAGGGAGAGAAGTTTATCATCATTACCCCATGTCAGGCTGTCTAAACTCGATTCAGAACATAACTGTGAATAAATTGGCACAAGGAGTAGCCTTTTTTAACGAAAGACCTAATGGATTTATGTCAAACTGTGGGGAAAAATTTAGGACATCTGTAGAAATATGCGAAGTGAGAGTAATGGGTAAGTTGCACTTTCTGGTTTTGAGAAGTAAAAAAAAAAAATAAATAAATAAATAAAGAGTATTTGATTAATTCAACCCCTCCCGGGTGAACTGTAATAAATTTACTTCCTTCCAAATTAAGATAAGAAGTATGACGATTTTTAGTGACATTTATTCGTGGTGTTTTAGATTTAAATATATCTGCGACAAAAATTTACATAAAGGAGAAGCCAAAAAGAAAAAGTTTATGGCAAAAATCAGCAATTCACGAGTAAAAGAAGACCATTAACTAATCTTTAACATATTTCTAGCATGCGAATAATAGTTGGCTTGCAGTGAATTCGACTTTAAGAAATTCTATGATATATAATGTGGAATTGAAATATATTTTTGATAGATCTAATTGGGCTTCTGTATACATGTATCTTATAGGTTGTGAACAAAATAAATACAGTTTTGGATGTAGTGACGAATGCAGTTCTAAGTGTAAAGACAAACATTGTGATGTTTTTACGGATTGTGCATTTATGGCTGTTCTGATCCAAGTGATGTATCTCTTAGTTGTGGTGGTAAGTTTGATTTGGATAAAAAAAGAAGTATTAAAGTTTTAAATATCAAAACAAAACGTGTTTGTGAAACACAATGCGCCCGGTGGCAACAAAGTTCAATAAAGCTATTTTTAGCATACAGGTCACAGTCAAGATCACAAGGTAATTGATTTTAGTGTTATTTCAAAGAAATTAAAATATTCGAATATGCATATTAAATGTGAAGTATCTATCTTCTATGGTGCAAAAGTTATATTGTGAACGTTCGAAAAAACTATTTTTAGTATATAGGTCACAGTCAAGGTAAAAAAGTCATTGACCTTGGAGTCATTTGAAAGAGCTTTATTCGTGGGGTATGCATACCAAATATGAAGTCTCTATATATCTCTAGGAGTTTAAAAGTTATTGCGAAGGTTAAAGTTGACAACAGACAGACAAACAAAACGGCAGGACAAAAACAATAAGCACCACGAATCTATTGATCCAGGCGCATAAAAATGGAAAGTGCATTTGTTAGACCTTTTAAAATTATGTCCTAATAAATATGCATTTCCAAAGTTTTACTGAGCGGGCATATAAAAATGGATGTTAGACCACAGAAAGAGATGTTAGACCTCTCGATGAGATATGTTAGAACCCTTACACCGCAGGGTGGGCGGGGCCAGCTATGTTTTATTTGCACTCGTTGGATTTCGACAGAACTGCAGTGCTGGTGAACAAAATTTACATCACATTTACGATTGTTACTCATTTATCTTAAAAGAAAGTAAAAGGTACAAGTATTGGCTTTCCTAAAAAGCTTGTCTGACGTGGTTTGCTAAAATTCATACAACGGAAAAAAATAATATATTATGTTATATAATTTCTTTCGTTCGATAATTTATCTGCAATAGACCATGCGTAATCAATACTGTATACAATAATGTACAAAGAACTTTAAATTGAAGCTCCTGGCACCAGGATCATAAAACAAACTAAGACTTGAGTGAAATTTTTAATCGCCGATAAAATATTTATTAATTATGGAATTTATTTCTTCATTTGCACATAAAAACA